AATTTTCTCTTGTCACATTCGCACAAAGTAATTGCCCTTGTGTGTACGTGCATATTCCTGTTTGCTGAAGGCGTGGGCACGGATCCTTTCCTGCCTCGCCTGATGAATCACCTCCAGCCACAGGATTTAGGAATTGTCCCACCACCGTGATGCTGCAGGTCATCTCCGAGCCCATAGAAACATCGCGTACAGGGTCCCGGTATGGTGCCGCAGCGACGGTGCTCTGCCAGGGACAAGGGTGTGGGAGCAGCCCCAGGCTCCCACAGGCTGGAAAGCCGCAGAAGGATAAACCAGCACCAGTGGTGCAGCCAGGCGCTCCAACCGGGACAGCCATCTGCTCTCGGTGTCCTGCCCCACCGCCTCGAGTGTGGCACTCACACTTCAAATGCCTTCACTAGCGCTTCGCTGAAACACCCGCAGCTTGGCGATAGCAGCCAGACGGAGTCTGGGGGGGTCCTGGGCTCCCACACTGCCACGCTGGTGGTGCCAGCAGACCGGAGCCCAGAAAAACCCAGTGCAGATAAATAATGCAGAGCGAACATTTTACAGACAAAGAGCCAAGGCATCCTGAACCCGCCACGAGGTCCATGCGAGCACAGCCCCGCGGCGCGGGCACCCCCAATCTTGCCCTTGGAAACGCTAACACAGTCCCCTCATTTTTCATTCTATTTATAAATTAAAACAACACAACATGGTCTCCTGGCTGTTTTGCTGTCCTACCTTAAAGGTTGTGCCATGCCGTGCCGTGCCAACAGGAGCGCAAGGGCTCACAGTCGTGCCAGGCAGGCAGCTGGGACCCGCACCGCACAACTGTCTGTAAATCCCCAACATCACCGATGTCCGTGACACCCCAACAGCTTCCTCAGTGTTATGCCATGGAATAAGTTACTTTATACAAACACTCACACATTCACGTAGGTAAAATTAAAGTGGCCCTGTCGAGCCCAGCTCAGGGCTGTCTGGTTATTTGGTATCAGCTTGTATGAATCAGCCACTCAGGAAAATTTCCTAAGATTTTTTCAAAGGGTCAGTTTAGAGATCTTCTTGGGCTCTGCAGGTTTTGGACTCTCTACCAGTCAGGTTTTTAATCTCTTTGCTTTACTGAAATTTTTAAAAAGGGATTTTGTCACTGCTGTTACTTTTTTTAATGGGAAGCCCAATTCTCATCCGATGGCGTGCCTATAGCCACTGGTGCTGTATACAATTATCAGCGGAGTTCAGCAGTGCCTTTATTGACCCAGTTGGGACGGGTTTCTTGAAAACTCAAAATCTGGGTGCTGGGCAGAACTGAACTCCTCGGAGGGTGCCGGGGGCAGTGGGGATGTGCAGTGGGACCCGCTGGGACAGCTCTGGCCCAGCCTGGCCACTGGCCAGGGGATCGGGGTGTCACCTTCTGCCTCGCTACCGGCTCCCCAGTTACACCTGACTTCATGCATTTCTGGTACTCGGGGAACCAGAGCTGTGATTTTCTCCCCAGGCTTGTCCATTTCTGCAAACTGGGGAAAAAGGAGAATGTGATGCGTGACGAGCATGTCATCGATGACTTATTCTTTTGTAGTCTTAAAAAATACATTAAAAAATAATTTTTATGAGCTTTTACAAATATTTTGTCCCTTGCATACATAAAACAATAAGAAAATACACTGAGAAAAAATTGTAGCGAGGTAACTTGCATTGTATAGAATACATAATGGCTCCTACCTTTGATGACATTTATCTTTACTCGTGAGGGAAGACCTAATAACATGAATTATCAGGTCCCTCCTCACTCATGAAGAATAATGTCATAAAGGACCCACGCCATCAGCCATCGGAGGTGTTCGGTATTAATCCTCCTATTGTTAGAGCTGGCGGATCACTTGCCTTTTCATTGTTTTCATGATATAAGGCAAGCCTGCATGGAGCGGTGGTGAAAATGCAATTCTGCAGGAGTTTCGACCTGATCGAAATGCTGGAGTTTTCACACATGATTATCTTTGATCTTCAAATGCACATTATATTTTTGAAAATTACTGACGTAGGTAAACAAGCATTTTCTCAAAAACAGCATTCCTGAAGGATGAGTCTAAATACCCTTTCCTCAACTTCGTGTTTACACAGAGTTATACAGGGGAAATGAGCCTTCAGAGAATTATTAGAGGGCAAACGAGAAGCAGCCAAGTTTATGAAAAAATAGCACAAAAATGACTGAGAGGATAGAGATCTATATCCTAAGTCAACTCCAGTTCCATTTCATTTTTTTTTTGAAGGAAATCACTGGCAGGCGCGATTTACTCTGTTTTCTAGCAGGATTGCGCCGAGGAGGGCAGCCGCTCCTCTGTTCCCAAAGGTGACGGGCCGGGTGCCCTGGCTGCTCCCGTTCTGCCGGCCCGGCGGGAGCACGGCTCTCCGTCGGGAGGAGAGGCCATCGCCGGCTGCATCAGCCGTGCGGCCTCATGTAGGTTCACGTAGAAAATTTGCCATAAAATTTGCATGCTGCTTGCACACACCCCAGGCGGGCGGCAGCCAGCAGGGGTTCGCCCGAGCCCTTTCAGGGTCCGTAGGGAGCCCATCACCCTCCTCCTGGCTCCGGTCACCCAGCTCCCATGGAGCACCATGGCATCCAGCCAGCTCAGCATCCCGTTACAGACACGGCAATAAATGCTATAGTTCTATCTCGCACTTCTCATCTGAGGATTTTGAAGAGACTCTCCAAGAGCTGCATTCGTAATTGCAGACGAGATTTCCGTGGCAGAGCTATTTTTCCAAAGTTATGCTCTGATACTTTGTAATGACAGTGTATAAATATGAAAGACAAACACCCACTAGCTTTCCGCTGAAAGGATGGGAATTCAGGGAAATGGAAAATAAATATATTTAGGATTTAATGCAACACAAATTCTTGGTCAAATAGCTGTTAGGTTTAAATGGATCTGGAAACGGTTCACTTGAAGATACATGGACAAGAAGCAACACTTTGTTCTCACACATTCAATAGAATCCCTGGTACTATAGCAGGGCTGCTCGGGCCTTTTATTTTAAATATTCCCGTCATCGGCTCACACTATGCAAATGCGGATGGGTGGGTTTGTTCAGTGGAGGAAAGTAATTCAAAACCCAGCAAAACAAATAGGAAAATTCATGAGCAATCTCTCCCTCTACCAATTTTCTTCTGCTTTTTATGTAGTCGCTCCCGAGGTAAATGGAGGGACGGCGGCCGCCCGCCCCGCCGGCAGCTCAGGCGCGGGACCCACAGCTTGGGACGGCCGGTGGGTGCGATGCCCCGGGATCCGCGCCCGGCACCTCTGCCCAGCAGGGATGCGCGGTGCCCGGCTGCAGCTGGCAGTGCCTGCGCACCGGCTCAGCCGCCGGGAGTTTCGGGCTGCCCCGAACCTTACGGCTTCGCACCCAGAGAGCACCGACTGCAAGGTAAACAAACCAACCCAAAACTCCGGTAATAGCAGCAACGCCAAAACGCCGGTGAAGCTTCTTGTTGTTGCTGTTGAACGTAGCCCTGGCGATTTGCCGGGGCGCCTGCCGAAGTCCCCCGGAGCTGGCTGCCAGAGCGTCCTCCCGGCTTGCCCTGCGCTTCGAGGAGGCACCGACTCCTCCCGACTCGATCCCAGCCGGATATTGCTAAGGAAGAATGATTTATCAACAGATATAAATCAAAATGACTGTTTAGCAGTGCTGATTAGCTCGAAATGAGTACTTCTGGAAACACAACCGCATCTAAACATGACACATCTGTCTCCGCTATCGCGGCGTGGCATATCTCATTTAGTCACCGTGCCCATTTGTATGTGCCCTTTAGTCCCTCCAAAGATTTAGAAATTGGGAAGAAAAGAATTTTATCTCATATTAAGGGTAATCCTATTTCATATGCAACAAATCCATAATCCAGCCAGCGTAATTCAGGATCACACCATTCGTTCCTGCGGGCGCAGGCAATACATCACCGCGGTGCCCGAGGCGCGGCGAAGCCGGTGCGTGCCACGGTGGGTGCGGGGGCATGGCCAGACTTTGTGGTTTTACCGCAAGAGCCACGGCATCCTTCTCCATCCTTCCTGAAAGTAAATAAATAAATGAACTAGTTGTACAGTGAAAAAGAGGAAAGCACGAACCCTGAAGGCATGGAGCAGAAACACAAAGACCACTGCTTTAAAAACATCGTTGCTCTTGAGTGAACACCACGAGGCTGGCACCCAGCTCTCAGTTTGGGTGTTCGGGCCCCCGGTCACTATTACCTGACCGCCCGGTGTTTTGCAGCGCCTGGAGCAGCAGCCACTGGATCCCAGGGCACCGGGGTCCGTGCGTGCTTCGGCCGAGCGTGTTCGGCACAATCCCAGCCTCGGGCGCAGCGCAGCGGCGAGCAGCGGGCTGCCCCTCGGGGCGAGAGGCCGCCGGGAGCCCCGGTAATGCACCACACAATTGCAAACAAGTGGGGAAATCGGTGTTGCTTAGCAATTTGCTGCAGCACGCTCGAGGACTGTGGAACGGGCAAAAGCTTTGTCAGGAGCTACAACATTATTATTAGCACTATTTAAAGAGCATCCCAGATGTGCATGGCACTTTACGGACAAAAATAATTGGCGGTCCTTGCCCCCTGAAGCTGAAATAACACAAACCCAGCCCCAGACAACAATGAGCACGGCTGCGGAAAGCCGGAGCACGGCGGCGGCGATGGCACTCCTGAAAGAGCACGGGCTGCACCCGTTATCACATCTGCTCTCGCACTTGACCTGCCCCGATTGCAGTCACGGCAAGTTTTTTTTCTCCGATTTTTCACTGAGCGCCCAACGGCAAGGACAGGCTACTGGTTTAAATTATTTTATGTCTACCTCTCTAGAGCTGAAGATGGCACCCGGGCAGGAGCCATCACCGCGCCGGACGCGTCAGCAGCGTGGATGGAAAATCTCCCCTGGGTGGGGAGGGTCCCGGTGGGAATGCGGCAGCGCTGGCAGGGCAGGCAGGGTGAGGGCAGCCCACGCTGCCCGCTCCGCTCGGGCACGGAGGCGAGGATGCCGGTGCAGCCCATCGCCCGTACGGCCGGCAAACCCTGCCCCGGACACCCGCCTGACGACTCTGTTGGCAAGTTTTGCAGCTTTCCGTGGGAATCGTGACGTATTCCCAAGGACTAATTATCTGCTCATGCGTTTTGGGATCACTGCTGTGCGAGGGCGTCCATCTGCAGCCCCGGCTGGGGCTTTGCTGACCGTGCCTGCCGCTCATTGCGATAGGTGGATTGTTTGCATTCTCACGTGGACTAGAATTATTTTAACAGTGGCTTAGCATTTATGGTACAAAAATGGTCTCAAATATCAATGACACGCTGCATTTTTAAATCCAGCCTGTCAGAGGCAAACCAAGCACCACTACTTATGGGCCTCATCTCCGGCAAGGTGGGCTCCAGAGCCCCTCGGATCAGCGGGAAGGTACTCACTACCTTCAGCGAGGGTTTGCTCAGCCTTTGCCAAGCATCCCTGAGCCCTCCCAACCCACCGCGAGGACCACAATGAGGGTCATTAATGACGTTAACCGCTGCACGCAGGTCAGCAAACCCATCACCCGCTCACAGGGGCGAGGGGAGGCATCCCGATGGGGACGGGAACGAGCAGAGGCAAGAGCTAAATGAGCCCACCCAGGCTGCAATACAGCTAACGACACGAAGGCAAGATCTTAAAATATTTTGAGTTCGTATATGGGTTTTACAACTATTTGAGGCTACACTATTTGCATACTAGTACTTCTCTACAAAAGGAATAAACGCACCTGCCATTGCATTAGAGCAGCCTTGGTCGTAAAGCACTGTACTGCTCTGCGTAGCTCCAGGATTGGGACCCAAAAATATAACACAAGCCCAATCCAGAGCACATGTAAGGCAGGAGAGAGCTTCCTACAGCTTTTAATGAGTTCTGGAGCGGGTCCCAGGTCATTCTGGTGCTGTTTTGTGAAATTACTTAGATTTATGTCCAGCTATTTAATATCAGCCTGACCTGCTTTTGCTCAGCTCTGTGTTTGACTGCCGCTGCTCCCATCCAAAGATTTTAATTTTTTATCTTGTTCATTTTTTTCCCCTTTGCACTGATATTTTTTCTAATTTGGTGATCTCAGCAAGATGTTTGGGATGCACTTGACAGAGCATAATATATCACCTGTCGAGAGATCCCAGCTTTTAAAAAGTGGGAAAATTATTGGTATAATTGCAGAGTAAACGCTTGTCTGGGGAAGGGGAACTCCTCCATGCCATGGAGTGGTCCGGGAACCTTCCCCCCCTCCAGAGGCGCGAGTCCGGCCAGCGCTGGGCGCTGATGGGAGCCTGACAAGGAGTTGATAAACCTGGGCTGCCCCGCTGCTCGGAGACGCTCTATAACTGATTGTTTTAATACCAAAGTGACACCAAAGGGGGGTCAAGTAAATAAATATGCATGCCTCACCAGTTCAAAATAATAAAATTCCAATGTGTGCAAGCCTGCTTGTTGAACATATGTTTGCGGCACGGCTAAGCCATCTGGCTCAATGTCAAGCATTTACACCAACTGCAGTCTTACACTACCTGACAGCAGAAAAGCTTTATTCCCTTGGTGTTTGGGCACAAATGGAGAAATATTATTGAAATGATTATCTGCATCAAGACTCAGATTTGGTTTGACATTTAGCTGGCTCTGTTTAATCCAAAGGGTTGTCTGAATGAATAAAGAGAAGGGTTCCTCCAGAAGATGCTGCAAGCAGCCAGGGAAAGCCAAATGATTAATGAGACTGAAAGGCTGGGTGGACCCTGCCCACCTCCACCCAGACCTCGGTGCCAAGAACTGCATATGAAATTAGTCTGAGGCTTTTGTAGCTTGTCAGGAGGATGCTCACAACCAAAGGGGCTCTATTTTTGGACCTTAAGAAAACAAAAGAAATCACTACGTTGCTTCCAGCCGGGAAGGAAAGCTCTGTGTCCTAATTAAAAACAATCTCTTAGAAGTCGCAGGTCATCATCACACCTCGGTTAGAGCGAGATGCGTTTTGGACCCGTGTCCCTCTGCCCCCAACGCCAGAGGAGAGGGGGAGATGCCTGGTGTGCAGGGCTGGGGGAAAGCCCCCTCCTTCCCCGGGCAGAGCCCCCACTGTCCCCCTGGGACAGAGGGGTTGTGAGCAGCGCGGTGGGAATTTAGTCCCAAAGAAGGTGGCCCGCTTCCTTTTTTTCAGAAAAAAGTCTTCTGTAACACAGGAGGGAAGGAAAAAACAACCTATGAAGTTTGGAGCGAGTTAACAAGAAAAGAGTGGGAGCAGGATTTGTTTGAACTCACAGGGTTGCTGAAGGCTCAGTTTGACAAAGACAAATTTCTCTGAGAAATCAGACATACTGTATTTTAAAATAAAATAGGATGGAACTGCAAGGCACAAGGCTCTGATCAGCGTTATGGTCCAGAAAATCGTGCTCTTTGGGGGTACTAAAGCGCAACCTCCTTCCCTCTTCCCACAGGAGACCAGACTGTACTGGGTTTTTTCCTTTTTCCTTATATCTCCACTTCTAAATTGTTGATTTGGATTTAAAATTAATTTGGTGATTTGAGTTTAATAAGAATGTTAGACATGATTTCCTTCTCACTCTTACTTTTAATTAACTTTTTAATTGAGATTTAAATGAATTCTAATGAACAGAATTGGTAGCCTAATTGATTTGTTGCAGCAGCATAGTGAGGGATCAGTATGCTGGCAGCATTTTGATATATTACTCCATGATGTCAAACAGTTTACAGGTTAATTTTTTGGCAGAGGTTACTTAATGTCAGCAGAAAACAATAATTTACTTTTGATTTATTAGTAAACAGTCCCTCATAAGTATATGGTCCACGATGTTTGAACAAACTCGTGTTTATGCACAGCCTTCTTTGCCACCTATTAATGTCTCATTAGGAACTTGTCCCGGCTTCATACAAGAACTTCACACAGGCCTTGCCCAGATGTGCACAGGGACAAACGGTAGCAGCACCGTCTGGGGCCAGGGGCAAGGGATGGTCCACCGCTCCGCTCCTCCCACCGCGTTCATGTCCTAAACCCCTTTGTCCCACAGATGGCTTGGCAAGCCCTTTGCTTCTGAGCAGACAACCCGTTCGCGGTTTCCCTAAATAAATCCATAATAAATTTATTTCCATAAATAAATGAGAAAATACACTCTTTTTTCGCATTAAGAACAATGAGCAGATGAGGAACTACGTTATGACAGAGCTGAACACAGGCTGTAATTTCTGGCTGCACAAATTGCAGTTTGCCCCTATTATGATCCAGACAGCTCAACCGCACGGTTCTGAAAGAAAGTGGGCAGCGCGTGATTAATTGCGAGCTCACGGATTTTGCAGCTTCGAGAGTAAATCAACTGCTAAGAAGTGCTAACTTGCTAAAATATAAACTAATTTTAGTCTCTAGATATTAAAATATAATGCATCTTCCTCCTCCGTCGGGAAAGCTCATGAGAAGCTGTGGCTGACGCAGGGGAGAAAGCTGGGGTCAGCCCCCCTGCACGACCCCCAAGCCGGGGAGACCCTGCCCGGCTTCTCCTGTCCATCCCAAACCACCAACTGCCCGGAGCACACCCAGGGCTGCCGGCGCTTCCCGGCAGAAAGTGCCGGCGCTTGGCTCACAGGGCCTGGTTTTCTTCCCACCCTGGGTGTAAATCAGAGCGACGTTGGACCTATGTGGGTGTAAATGCAAAGCTTTAGAGACATTACTGCAGTCAGAGGGTAAAGCAGGATGGATGGAAAAGGAGAACGGGGACAGTGCAGGAAAATAGGATGAAAGAGAGAAATATTACTGGCAACATCCAAGACGGCTTGAAATATAGGGTGCTACCATATTTAAAGGAATCAGGTTTAAAAGTTTCATTTTATGATTTGTAAGGAATTTATGTGAAAATAATATTCAAAGACTGGCACCTTTTTTTTCAAAATACCAAGCTGTTAGCTGGGAAGGGAGATCCATGGCAAACATTAAACACCCACATTCCCCTGGCTAGAGGTGGGCGAAGCTGGTCTCGGCGGGCTGGCAGAGGGAGGGCAGAGCTCCTGCCTGCGGGGCCACCCAGCATCACAGCCCCGTGTCACCCCCGGGACCCCTGCCCGCCTGCAGCCCCCCCGCACCGCGGCGCTTGCCCCTGCCCAGCAGACGCGCGGGGTTCGGGGGCTGCAGCATCCAGCTGCATGAAAACCCCTTCCCCAGCGCATGCACACAGAGCAACCTCACCTCTGACTTTGGAGAGGCTCTTTGCCAGCTGAACGCTATCGTTTGTAGTGGAATTAACAAACTAACAATTTTCAAATCATTTCTGGTGACCTAGAGCTGCAAGCTGACTCTGGTCCAGTGTGTCGTTACAGAAGAGGATGGTTTAAAGACATTGATCTTCTAGAGGATAAAAATATCTGTCAATTTAGTGCTTCCAATATACGAACAAAGTATAAAAAATGGCACAATATATGAACCAAGTATAAAAAATGGCACATAGCGGTTGGCACCCCCGAGTGCAGTGCTGCGCCGCATCCAAGTGAGGGGGGATCGGCACGGCTCTTGGGGACGGACTTTGTCTCCGTCCCTTTGCCTCTCCCTTCGGAAATGGAGAGGGTCACCCATGGCGAGACCTGGGCTCCGGCCCCACGGGGCTGTGGCAGCCTCGCTGAGGGCTCCAACAACTCAGACCCCCGGGATGGTGGGGAGGGCCAATTTACACCAAGTGTGGCCCTGGAGGTGTGCAACTTATGTCTGATGTTCTCATTAAAGAACAAAGTGGCAAGTGGAAATGAAAACTGTTGATATCACTTCTCATTCCTCTCCCAGATACAGTGGCTTTTCAAACATAAAAAAATGAAATTCATCATTTGTTTCAATACGCTCCATTTAGAGTATTTCATACACCACAAACTTGAGATTAAAGAGAGAGCCTTTCTCAAATGCAGTTTAATTTTGTTTTTCAACTTCTTAAGCTTCTGTTAACACCTTTTCTGCAATCAGTACAGTACCTTTTAAGTTAATTAGTTCTGGAAAAGAATTACTAGTGTAATTTGTGATGAGACCTCCCTCCCTTTCATTCACCAGACAGAGCAGCATCT